ATATATATATATATATATATATATATGACATATATATATATATAGTATATATAATACTATATAGTATATATATATATATATATATATATATATATATATATGAATATAATGTATATGTATATATATCATGAACGTAAACATCAAGATGGTATATAGACTCACATGTAACTTATGTATGTAGATCTCTTTTGGAATACAAGTTGTTTTGGAAGAAAATCTCATGGAATGTCGGGCCAAGAGTTGTAGTACTGTACTCATACCGCATATAGGCGCCTTAATTCAAAGCTGAAACCGTAAGTTTTTGAAATATATTTACAGAATCGTGTATAATATCACAATGTGTGTTCGGAAGATGTGTATGCATAATGATCACAGGTACTGTGCCATTTTCATTTGTGTTGCAGTTCAAAGCTAGTTTTCGGAGTAGAACCGAGTCCACTTCGTCACATGCCTCTCAGTCGTCAAATGCGTCGGAGGTAAATAGACCAACAGCACGTCGGATGGGTGGTGTGACAACGGCCATCCAGAGGTTCGAGCAAGATCTAGAGGGTATGTTACTCTGCGAACAGCAAGTACTTGATTAATAATCTGAATAGTACTAGTGCATTCAATTATCTTTGACTGGCATGTTGTTGAAATGATTCGAGTGTAGTAGACGATTATGAAAATGTTCCGTCGTATTAAACCCATTGTAACACGTATATTTTTTACTTGTTGTTTTCCTCTCTCGCATTTTTCGAATCCTTCTCGATGCTTCATATCTTCCTGCTTGCTTGTTACTTTTACTTCTCGAGTCTCCGACCTCCTCGCCATTTCTAAAGAACTTCTGGCTTCTCATGAGACATGGACTTTACGGTGTTGTGCTCAAGCAATGACGCATATGTGCAATCACAGAATAGTTCCACACCTAAACGTGTCTTCATTATTTTCTTATTTCTATAGTCTCCGCCGATGCTGGAAAATATGACGGTACATCACGAGTAAGTGTGTGGAACATAGTTGATACCCGATATGTCCGTGTATATATATTAGTGTATATCCCGTTGGATGTGACCTGCTTTCGTACCTTTTCAATGGAAATGAATAATTTGACACCAATTATAGTTAGCCGCACAGCTCACAGTGCCTTTAAAAGGCCATGTAAACCGCAGACGAGGAGTCCAAAGGTCAATTTAGGATGTCAAAATGATGTGTGAGAATTTACCTTCCACTATTTATGCATGCTTTGCTCTGATGCATATGTCATTTGATCTGGTAGGGCAGACTGGTAGACCAAGCCACCTCTTTGTTGTTTTTCCTGTATTTAAATATCCGACTGACGTTGCACACAACAACATGTGCTCGACTCTGAGACCGTACAGAATGTCTTAGTAACAGGGATATTTGAATGCCTGCATATTTTGTACCTGCTATATTTTCCAGGTTTCCAAAAAGTTCGTATTAGGAATCTTCAGTGGCGATGAGGAAGGAATACAACATATGATGAAGAAAGATGGGACCATAGTTCTAACAACCGAGCTCATGACTGTAAGTGTATATATGAGCATATTCTCGATCATCATTGTTCCACACATACTTCGCATCGATCCAGTATAGCGAATGGTATTCGTACGACTGACACGTGCTGCTAGGCATGCTACTTGAAAATAGGTTATAATTCTCATTCACAAATCTGATCGAATATCTGCTTGAATCTCGTATCGTGCTGTTTCATAGCATGTGGATACTGAATAATGAAGTTGTACCTTCGTCCATCGATTATGTTAGTTGCATACCGACTACCATCTAGTAACGTTCTCTCGGGAATATCTTCTAGACTTTTGCTGCGAACACTTCGAAAACACACTATCCCTTATTCATTTTACCATATTTAAGGTCTCATACATAAACTAAAGCAAGCAACCCAATTAGAATTTTTACCGCATATCCGCATTTTATTAATCTAGAAGTTGTACGTTCGGGATTCGAGTCCAAAAAAACTGTTCATTGTTTTCTTTTTTACAAATATTCATTTTTCTCTTCAATTCATCAATCGTTGCGCAAAACTGCTTACAATGACCGTATGGTGCGATTGTTGGGTCGAAAATAATCTCGACTGAATCTATCAGCAATTGGTATGCTGTATCTGTGCTCGCCTCGCACATAACTGCATTTTTTGCTTTCACGACAAGTTTGTTAGTGTACGATATGCATGTGGCACAAGCACTCTAATAGACTTCATTTAGCGTACTAGTGTCGGGTAGAAAAATATTCTGCCTGTCGGTATTGTGTGCAGCGTTTATTGATTGTTGGTGGAGGTGATGGCTGTCCTTGTAATATATGTATATCACACTATTTACAAATTGATCATAATGTTGTAGTTGTTGTTGCGGTCGCTGGTTGCTGTTGTTGTAGTTGATCTTTGAATCCTCCGATCTGTAGCTCTCACACGAGACACACCGGCTTCCTTATCTATTAACGAACCAGGACCTTCTTTCAGATCCTCAGCCTGTGTCACGCCAAATTAGGAACAAACCTAAACACCAAGTATCCCAGCATATCCATAAATCGAATCCTCTCAGTCATATTTTGAACAAACGGCAGAATTCTCATAATGAACCCCGCACCGGCCTCCTTTTTGCTATGCCTTTGTACTGAGCCCATGCTCTTTTTGCTATGCCTTTGTCTTTAGTTGGTACCACGAATAACGGCTTATCGTCTTTCCTCCTGTGTGTGTATTCTCAGCCTATGCTGCACCTAGCCATCAGCAAGAGTGATCCAATCATGATCAAGGAGTTACTCGGTTGTGGGTACTACTTAGAGATGAAATCACTTCGTAGCGGAGACACGCCCCTCCACCACGCCGCACGGTTGGGGAAGCAGAGTATTGTGTCGTTGCTGCTGGAGGCTGGTGCCTGTAGCAGTGCACAGAACTACGATGGACTAACATATGAGGATTTGCTGGAGGTGGACGATTGGGAGTCGCACTATCAGGTTCGAGGTGAGTTGAATATGAATACAAAGTTTGTTTTATGCAGGAAAGACCTTAGTGAGAGTATACCTCTATACTATACTCCATAGCTACTGATTGTTCAAGTGAAAGGGGTGCAGGGAAGGCGGTATGTAATCTCAACTTAACCTCTGGCGAATGCGATACGGATATTGTTTTGGCGTACGTTACAAACCTTGTATCTCCTACTTTGATGAGCTCACTCAGTGCCGTTCAGCAACATGTAGTTATTCGGTTACGGATCTCGCATCGAAAACAGTCTTCAATCTCTTCTGCACACCAAGTGCTTCGTAGCAAGTGTGCTGCTTATTGTTTGCTTTGTTAATCTAACAACAGACGACATTGTGAAGACAACACCACTGGACCGCCGTCAAAGCTCCGATTTTCTTTCAACGAAATCCATAGGAGAAAAAAAGGTACTTCGAAAAATCTTACACTATGTGATTATCCCCCCCAGCATCTGCACTGTAGTACAAAAAAGCTCCATCAAGAATCGCAAGAGCGTAGATATTCCCTGGAGTGGTGTTTGTCCAAGATCTCCACTGGTCTAGTTATAGACGCACCACTCTTTGTACCTGTTTGCTTCCCGCGTGGCTGACAACGATCCCAAACTATGTTCCCGTGTTCGTGCACTGCGCCTCCAATACCATGATACTGCCACTGACAACGATAATGTACAATTTAAATCGGTGCGCATCGCACTAAAAACTTACACTTAACATCAATCATCTGTACCACCATGTGCTGTACAGACTGTTTTGAATCTTTATTTATTGTCTGAGTTCATACCGCGGGTGCGTGCTACACATATGTCAAAAACTGCCACCTCGAGTCATGTGCAGTACTGTGCGGTACTAGGTTTTTTAAATCTCTAATCTAAAATCTCTATCAGTCTGTACCAAGTATCTAAAATCTCTTTCAATCTGTAGTCAAGTATTCAAAATTTCTATCAAATACTTCTATCTCAATTACACTGTACCAAGTATTTCCAATATCTATCAATCTATACTATGTATTGTCTATCTCTATCAATAGCCGAGTGTACACCTTAGATCACTGTGTTGCCGTGTGCTAGTTTTGAATTGTCCTGGGCATTGCTGTAGAGCACGCCTCGAGTATTCCTATCATCATGCGCAATTCTTGTGCTTCGCATCATCTCCATCTCAATCAGCATTGAACTAGACACCCGTAGGCAGCATTTCAAACTTCACCTCGAGCTTCTATCTTCATATACCGCGAAATGAGTACTAACTGTAGCATCGCGTGCTGTACTTACTCCTCTCTCCTTTGTTTTGAAATGCAGAATGTTCAAGGCAGGCCCGGGATTGGTGGGAAGAAAGGATTCTTCAAAAGAGCGTTCTTCGCAAATAAAAAGAGCGGTGGTGCTTAGTAAGCTACCCTGCAGTGCACATAAGTCACTGTCGGCAGCGTGCTTCTCAGCCTTGCGGATTAGCTTCAATGATGTCGAGGTGTATGGGGACCAGCATACATGGGGTTTATACAAATTGGAGGCACGTTCCTAAACCAGTAAGGCGAACCTATGCCGAGTTTATTACATACACTATGTATCAAAGGACTGATGGGTAGGTCCTTCTGTGGCTTGTCGTAGTAGTCAATGAGCGTTACGTTTATAGATTAAATCCGAACACGGACCAAATATACGATAGCTGATTTCGTTGATAGCCAGAACAAAATGTACCGATGCAAGTATATACATTGTACAAGCGAAGTCATCCCATCCATATCGCTGTGTGGGAGGGCAAAACGACACTGCTGTATTTCAGAGGTGATGATCCAAAAGTAAACCACTGTGAAGATCTGCAGGCAAGGTGGGATGTTAGGTGTTAAACTCGGTTTATTCTACTTAATTTGGCAGTTCACTTACTGTGTGAAGTGAGCAAGCCAACGCTCGTGTCTCGCCCGTTATGAGGCGCAGACACCAAACGTGCGCCAAGGCATCCGGTTAGACTAGCAGATATGGGCGCCAGAAACCGACCATCAGTACGGTTCAGGATGGGGTTTAGGGTTTTATGGTTTAGGATTTTAGGGTTGAGGGCTTGGCGTAGGGCTGGGTGCTGGGCCATCCCTAAACACCCAAACGCACCATTACGCCACTCTACCTATTCGCCTGGGGTGTCGATCACTCGGGTGAAGCCGTTGTGACCAGTTGAGTGGTCACCCACTGACAGCACACAGGCGATCTCAGTCGCCCAGCAATCTGGCTACCTCTTCCTTAAGTGCCTGTATGTCGCTGGCCGCCTTGCTCGCTTCTTGAAATGCGGAATGCACAGCGCGGAGGGCGTGCAAGTCCCTGCGCAGCCGCATAAAGAATACCGGGAGTGATAAGCGTTTATGCACAAAAACGCAGCGTTTAAAATGTAGAACACTGAGAGGTACAAGTGAACGTCTGTGTGCGGTGAACAAGTGTCTGCACGATAATAAAACTGTCATGTAGTAAAACAGTATCGAGAGCCAAGAACCAAAACCTCATCTGCGAAATGCATGGCTTCACGAAGTCGGAATATAACTAGCTATTTGGTGTGGTCACGCCTTCGATATATACTCCAGGTAATAGCAGTGTTACCACCGAGTAAGATATAACCACCCAGAACCCAGTCATAGCTAAAGCACGGTTCCAGACAAGTTCTAGCGCCATATTAGTAACTTACACCATATAGCCAAACGTGTACACACAAGCCAACAGTCAGGAGAATGGGGCACAATAGTACTCGCTCTGGCAATTACACCATCGAATCACTGTTCTATCCTACCAGCACTCACACAATCAATGCACACATTTGCTCACATCTCAGGCGCTCAGACCATTGAGTCGCAGTTCCTTGGTTATGAATCAGAGGACACAGCTATGAGGCAAAACATCCATCACTATTAGCACAATCTCAACGGAAATTTGTATTCGCAAAATCAGCGGCCACACAACCGATGTGCGTTACTACTCGCATCAGTAGTTATAACATCGAGGCACAGTTGCACATACATATCAGCAGAGCCACCCGCAAGCGACCGGGTGAGACTGGTCAGCAGAGTCTGAATCGCATTGATCTGATGCTTTATATTCCGCAGGTCTGTGGTTAACGTATTGTCCCGCCGCCTCGTCGTGCCTGGTACCAGATGAAAGAGTGTTGTCGGTATGGACAAGGTAAGGACGTATCAAGTGCTTATGAAAGAGAATTGTCGGTAGAGAAAAGGTAAGGACGTATCAAGTGCTTATGTAGAGTGAAAATGACACTCGAGTGTACATAGAGCGCAAAGGATATGCTTTTGGCTGAAGCCGTGTGGTTCTATGTAGTGCAGGAGATGTAGCGATACTAAGGTATATAGTCTCCAGAACAAAGCAATTCACTTTGTCTGCAATCTACGGTTGATCAAACGCAAGATACAACGCATGGCAATCCCGTGGCTATTGGAAGACAGAACACAGTATCAAAGAAAATAATTCCAAAGATAGCGGTCGTAATCGGTGTCAGCCAACACCTCAATGCCAGAAAGATGGCAATGTGATTATTCAGCATAACATATGCTGCAGTACACCTGCGCATGTCATTCGAATACACACTTACGCCAATGGGCAAACAAGCGGTGCCAATCACCAACTGCTCACAACCCACCACGTTCAAGCGTATTGTATTCCACACCGAATAGGTACCTCTGTACCGCAGAGATAGCAGCACTGCACCGACACACATACACGACTGTATACACTTACGCTCTTCGGTTGCCAACTGTTGCTTGATAGTCACTATTTGCTGCTCCAGTGCGCCCTGAGTCAAAGCCGACAGGCGCTCCAAAGCTAAGTGATCACTTCGATGCTGTGCGAGAGAAAAATAGATACGGTATGTTTCCCATGTTTCTATTGAAGGTCATGGGGACGGCGACAAGAATACGGTCTGGGTGGACTTGCGACCATCTGTGGATTGTTGAGATGACAAGACGAGCATGCAGACGCACACCAAACACCAATGCAATGCCGCATCAACCCACACAACACACCCGCATGAGCGCCTGCCATCCTTGCAACAGCATTGTCATGCACACACTCTCGCCTTCGATATATCCCTATCCTTCTCGATGAATCACACAACACACACGCATGGTTGTATGGCACACACTCTCACCTTCGATATATCCCTATCCTTCTTGATGATTCACGCAACACACACGCATGGTTGTATTGCACACACTCTCACCTTCGTTATCTCCTTATCTTTCTCGATGATTCACACAACACACACGCATGGTTGTATTGCACACACTCTCACCTTCACTATCTCCTCATTCTTCTCGATGATTCACACAATACACACGCGTGGTTGTATTGCACACACTCTCACCTTCGCTATCTCCTTATCCTTCTCGATGATTCACACAATACACACGTCGTGGTTGTATTGACACACACTCTCACCTTCGCTATTTCCTGTCCTTCTCGATGAGCTGTGCCCTGAAGTGCCTCGTCAATCTTTCGACTAGAACCTT